GGGAAAGAGGATTGAAAGGAGGAAACTTGTGACTTTTCCTTTGGCTGAATCAGCCCCCACCACACCAGCCATAAGACAGGGACGGCCACCTTTGGTCTGGCAGAGAAAAAAATCAGGGTGTGAGATGCAGAGAATATCTCCACACAGACATGACACGTTCACAGAGAAGAGAGAGATGTCCACAGGAGGTACCTGTCTCTCCCCAGAGACTGTCAAAGCTGTTGATCTGTGCTCGTTCCACCTCTTCCTCATCTTTTTCTGGAAGATCAAGTAGGTAGGAGACAATCTGAAACAAGAAGCTGTGTCAGCTCAAAGGTCAGGTGGAAAACTGTACTACTGATACTAGCCTGTGAGGTTTGGAAGATACCCGGATACTCAAGGGTCACGCTCTCTCTTGCACACAAAAGGAATCAGAACTCACTGTCCTCGCCTAAAAACCCAAAGCTGCCATGGTGAGCATTTGTTCTACCAGGTACAGTTTACATGTTTCCCTTGAACACAATTAACTTACATAGCATGTGACTTTTAAAAATCACATATTTATCACATTTGAGTTAAAAAAGCAAACCCTCGTCCTCCTAATAAAAATGCTACCAAGAAATAAACAGGAAAAAAATCAATAAACAAAACCCAGAAAATAAATATGGAGAAAACTGAGGGCCTGTAGTTTTTCAGAGCGGAGCTATTATCTTCTTTTTTCCTCTTGGAATTACGAGGACTGTTTGCGGATAATAAAAGGAGAATGGCTGCTAACAACAAAGGAAAGTGACAGCTCTGTTTCCAGGAATTTCACTGTAGAGAGAGCTAAAAAACCTTCTATAGATAATAAAAATTCCAATTTTACTTAATGTTCCCTTGGTGATACGTCAGGTCAGCTGATGGGGTAGCTGTGTCACTGTAGCACCTCAAGCAGTGGCGAGCCAACTTGTACTGGCCCATGAAAGCGGACTGTTAAATTTTTGGAATTTTGCAAGCCAGTCAGTAAACAAAGATGTTTATTAAAAATTAAATAACAATTAAAGAAATTATATTAAAAAAGGTTAAATATCAAATGTTATAACTTCTTAATTATTTAATTACATTTTACTATTATCTATGCTCTTCAGGTTATTTATATTTACTGTAACTGAATGGTGGAAATTTTATATAATGCTGTGCTCCTGTGCATCTCTTTGAAACTTTGTGTTCGGTGATGTCACATTGGCAGCTTGAAATCAGCCACGGTGGGGGTACTTATACCCTAGAAATTGTCAAACTTTGTAAATGAGGATTTGATTTACTGCTAAAGCTAAAAGGGGTTCCAGTTTAATGAATATAATTTGTATGAGGATGAGAAGTAATTTAACAGTAGATCGCACATCAGATTTAATGACAAAATTATTGGGAAAAGAGCAAACAGGGGTGCAACTTCATTTATCAAATCATGGTTGAGTTGTAACCACAGGTTGGGTACAGATATACGTTTAGCAAAAATCAACAAAAGCATTCAATTAAGAGTATTACACAATTCATTATTATTTGTAAACTGTGTGCAACATTTTTTTAAGTATCAGTAAAATTTATAATAAATTTAAGTCTGTATGTACACACACACACACACACACACACACACACTTCTGTTCCACTCCACTCCCCTCCCCAGAGCTGGCTGTTACACATTTCCTAGAACACTACCAATTCCACATATTTTGCCACTGTATTATTACTTTCATTAAAAAATAAATTAGCAAAAATACCATCTGCACAGTGTTTAACAGTTTACATCTCATATCAACCTTGTAAAAAAGAATTTATTAGCCTCGCTTTACTGGTGGGAAACTAAGGTTCTAAGAGATTAGGTATACTGCCCAAGGTCCAGAGCTAATGAGTAGGAAAGCTGGGCCTCAAACCTGGTCCTTCTGAGATTCCAACTGTTGTGCCCTTTCCATTCCACTCTGCCTACCCATGTGAACACAGGTCAAAAAATAATCCCCCTGAGCCTAGTGTCATTGTCTGTTAAATAGGGGTGTAAAGATGGGGAGGAATCAGATTAGATAATTCCCGAGGTCCTTTCCAACATAATTCTAGGTACCCTGGAATCTCCCTACTCCTCAGATCAATGACCAAAAACCTAATTCACATTAACTAGGCTAACAAATTTTTTTTTTTATTTATTTTTGGCTGCGTTGGGTCTTTGTTGCTGTGCGCGGGCTTTCTCTAGTTGCAGCGAGCGGGGGCTTCTCTTCGTTGCAGTGTGCGGGCTTCTAATTGTGGTGGCTTCTCTTGTTGCGGAGCACAGGCTCCAGGCGCGTGGCCTTCAGTAGTTGCAGCATGCGGGTCAGTAGTTGTGGCTCGCAGGCTCTAGAGCACAGGCTCAGTAGCTGTGGCGCACGGGCTTAGTTGCTCCGCGGCATGTGGAATCTTCCTGGACCAGGGCTTGAACCCGTGTCCCCTGCATTGGCAGGTGGATTCCTAACCACTGCGCCACCAGGGTAGCCCTAGGCTGGCAATTTTATAATAATGCAACCCCTTTTTCCTGGTTTCCTAGGTCCTTCAATACATAGCTTGAAAACCCCCCCAAACCTTATCTGCTGCTTTCTTACCTCAGTATAACCCATGCTGGCTGCAGCGATGAGGGCCTGCTGGATGGCGTGGCTCTTCTTAAACACCCCTTGCTGCTGGCCCGCCATTGTCCAGTCACACTGAATCAAAAACTTGACAACCTCCAGATGACCTCGGAGTGCAGCGTGGACCAAGGCACACTGCCCATTCTTATCCAAGTGATCCACCTATGGGAGGGGACAGAGAAACCTATGTGAAAAAGACTGTGGCTGTATTCCCAATCTAGTCACATCAGCCCACTGCACAGGTCGGGACTACTAAGATTCATCCTCTCCTATTCCTTGGACCAATCCCTGAGAAAAGTTAGAAGATACTCTCCAACTCAGGCTAGATCTTCACTGAGCTACAACTCTGGTAGATGCCCCTCTGGGGAGAACCTCTTTGCAAAACGTCAGGCTTTTGTTTTCACATCAAAAGAAACGAAAAAAAAAAAACCCCAAAAACAAAACACCAAAACTCCCAGCTCCAGCTTTGTTTTCCTGAGGTACACTCTCCCTTGTCCTCAAATAGTTCTTTTTAGACCCAAATTTGAAAGACTTGTAAGCTGTGTTGGCACTAAAAACTGTCTTTGAAATCATGAAAGGGAAGAAAAAAATTTTGAAGCTCAAATTTTTTGGTCTTCCAAAGAAGCAAAACATCTCATATCATGACTCATACATCTGACCACTATGCTTTGGCAAAGGCCACTGCTCTCTTCCAGTGGGAGGGCAGAATCTCAACCATCTGGCCAAAATGGCTAGAGGTACTTGGAACTTAATGCTAGACTATGTTCCAACAGCAGTTTTTACAGTTGCAGTGCTGGTTACAAGTTTAGGCTGAAAGAGAAGGCTGACTAAGGTCAATCTACCAGAAGGTCCCCAGCTACAAGTCTCAATAGATGAACAGCCTTTTCTGGCAGGTGTGCAGGTTATTTTCCAATGGTAGTTAGAGCACTTGAAGCCTAAGTTCTGTATCTGGTTCTCTCCAGCTTTAGTTTCACCCGGCCATCCATATAACAAATGTTTACTGAATGCCTACCATGTACAAGGTACACGATAGGATAAAAAGGTAAATAAGAGAGTAAAATATAGATTCTCCTCTCAAAGTTTTGAACAAGATAGGGGCGATGCGACCAATACAACAAAAACTTGTCCAATAAAGGTGTAATATAATAAATGTCAGACGGAAAGCAAAAGTGCAATAAAATTTCAGAGAATTTCCAGCCAGAAGCAGGAACAGATTCAGAGGGAAAGGTGCAATGGTCTGAATGTTTGTGTTCTCCCACCATTATTCGTTGGAATTCTAATTCCTGAGGTAATTAGGAGGTGGTGCCTTTGGAAAGTGATTGGGTCATGAGGGCAGAGCCCTCATGAATGGGATTAGTATCCTTATACAGAGGCCCCAGAGAGCTTGCTTGCCCCCTTCCACCATGTGACGGACGACACAGCAAGAAGGCACTGTCTGTAAACCAGGAAGCTCTCACCAGACACCCAATCTGTTGGCGCCATGCTGTGGGGACTTAGCTTCCAGAACTGTAAGAAGGAAATGTTTATAAGATACTCAGTCTATGGTATTTTATTACAGCAGCCCAAATGGACTAAGAAAAGGGCTATCGCAACTGGCTGGGATAGGAAATGATTAATTCTAGTTTTTGAAGGGCAAAATACATTAAGGGGGAGTTCAAACTACAAAGTTGAGAGGGTCTTTTGGGACAAGGCATGGATATTTTGAATGCCAGGCTAGTGGTCTGAATTTTAATAAGTAATGGAGAGTCACTGAGAATTTTCATGTTCAGAACTGTATTTTTTAAAAACTAAAGGAATGAATTAAAAGAACCCTTGGCTTCTTGGGGAAATGGTTGACTCCAGGGCTGGGACAGTAATAGCAAAAGATGAGTTTGGAACATCCCGTGGTGCCAGAAAGTACAGAAGCATTCATGAAATAATGTGGGGGGGGGCTTGAAAGGACACAGGAACCAACGTGAAGAAGCTCCCAATGGCCAAATCTGGGGCAATTTGAGCAAAAAAAGAAAATACCGGCAATGAGTTACAGATCACAGAATAAAATAAATATCCAGGAACCCATAGTGCTATAAGTAAATGAATAAATGAATACAATGAGGAGAAGGGACAGCTCTTCCTTACAGTAGAATTCCAATTAATAAATGTAGAAGGAAGAGGGAAATAGAAAATCGCTATAATGCAAATATCATAGCAATAATTACTGCAGCAAGAATGGACCCATCAATGGATGGATCCTAAATTAGTGGACAAAAAAATTAGTGGACAAAAAAAGATACAAGGTATCTGCCTAGTCTGAAAGCATCTCCTTCTTAATTCCAAATGGGAGAAACAGTAACTTCAGGTTGAGAAACCTGGAAGATACCACCTTATCCAAGTGACAGAGGTTAACATCCCCTGTAATGAGATCTCAACATCACGCACCCCCTGCAGTGCTGCATGAATAAGGACAGAACATCATGTCTGTGGTGTGCTTGCCAAAAACATACAAACTCAATCTAATGAAGAGAAAATATCTGACCAACTATAATTGAAAAACATTCAATTCAGTTATGCAACAAAATAACTGGCTAAATACTTAAGTGGTTTAGAGGGGTGAGAAATGAGAAATAGTTACTTTATTTGGCGACTGGCAGTTGTTAGTGACTTTTGAGAGCAGCTTCAGTTGAATGCCAAGAGGTTGGGGTTTTTTTTTTTTTTTTAAGGATATTATTTATTAGGCACTGCATGAGACTAAAAGAGACTTCATCTCTTTTTAAAAAGGCTCGATCACTTTTAATTGTCACAATGCCCCTCTTCATCCTGTTTCTAGGTTAAACAAGTGAGGCTGAGAGAGGTCAAATGACTCGTCCAAGCCCTCAGAGAAAGCGAGTGTGAATGCAGGCTTTGACCAGGTCGTGCCTGAAGCCAAAGTTTATGATTTTAATGACTTGCCTCCTCTTTCTGTCACGGAAGCCAGACCACAAATGGTTAAGGAGTAGTAAGGAAGCAGTGGCAGCAAGTAGAGATGACTCTTAGGACAGGCTTGGTGGACATGGGTGGGAAGAGAGGGGATGGTGGCTTCTAGTTAGGAGCGAGAGGGGAGTTTCTCTTTTGGGTTAGAGAAGACATTCATAGGTTGTAGAAACTGAGAAGAAAGGTAGTGTGAATTTAGAAAAAGAATGAAATGATGTGAGAGAAAGAGCAACATACTGAGATTAAAAAATATAGGTGGGGAATTCCCTGGCAGTCCAGTGGTTAGGACTCCGCACTTCCACTGCAGGGGACATGGGTTCCATCCTTGGTCGGGAACTAAGATCCCACAAGCCGTGCAGCATTGCCGAAAAAAAAAGAAAAAAAGAAAAAATATATATAGTGGAGGCAAGCATACTGGAAAGGAAGGTAAACACTTCCTTCTCTGAGGCAGAAGTAAAGGTGAGTGTACGTAAGGATTAATAGAGTTTTGAGATCGAGGCACAGTGAGATTAAACTCAATCTTGGTAGTCGTAGGAGGGCAAAAGAGGTTTGATAGGGTCTTGAAAAGATCACAAATGATTTATTTATCTGCTCTGGGGAAAATAAGAGATGAATAAAATGATACCTGAGCAACAGGAAAGACCCAGCTGAGATTAGAATATGAATTCACAGCAGTAATAATAAGGCCCAATTTTCACTCTGTTTCTAGAGGTGTTCATTCAAATGACTAGGACATTACAGGTGGACCATTCGTGTGTCACAGTTAACACCTACAGCTCTGAGATTTCACTGAGGTTCCCAGGTCCCAGCTCCCAAAGGAGTCTCAGGAGACACAGTTCTTCCCCGGTAAGGACACTGGACACCTCAGAACGAGGGCATACATATTACTTATATTTCACTGCAAAACCACCAAAATCCTCGGTTTGTTTTCAGGATGGAAACAAAATACCATTGGACTACAATGTTCCCCAGAGGCCTACATTTTTGAGACCAGCATTTTTCTTTTCACCAATATTTTGAAATTGAGTTATATCAGTGGCCTTTGAGATACTATAAATCAAATATATTTCTGAGAAATGTTTTGAGAGAATTAAAATACACTAACAGAAACACTTCTGAGTTCCTCTGGTCAGAGAGAATCATCTTCTCCCCATACCTCTTCAGGGGTATCTTCAAGACTCTAACATGAAAGGCTTAGAGTCTAGAGGCACCATTCAGTTCAGACTTCACAGGGCCATCTCCTTGCTCCCCCACTTCTCTTTCCTCACTCTGAGCTCAGGAGAGAATTTCTTGGCTGTTAGGGACTTTTTGTGGTTGCTGATAAATGCAGTTTCCTAAGTGCCTCGCAGAAGTTTTAGAACTGTGTGCAAATTCAGCATGGAACCGGCCATGGCAAGTGGGCAACAGCAGGATGTAATCAAAGCTAGTTCTCCCTTTGACCTGCTCCCTAACAGGATCTGATGTATTCCACCTACACTCAGGAGGTAACGCGGGAGATAAGGAAGAGTCTATAGCAGGAAGAAGGAAAAGGGAAGAAGAAAAGGCAGCAGAGCCGGACAGCCACTACCTTGGCCCGTTTCTTGCACAGCAGCACGACAATGCTTAGGAAGCCTGCGGCTGCAGCATAGCCCAGAGGAGTCAGGCCGCTTTCTGAGGAGGCATCCACGTTGGCCCCAAACTCCAACAGCAGGGCCACCATTTCTGTGTAACCAAGATGACACTGGACGCATAGAATTGGAGCATTATTTAAAACCTCTGTCCGGTAATTAATGTTGGCACCTCCCAAAATCAGCAGTCGGCTGACCTAGAAATAAGTGAATAAACAGAAATAATACTCACATAAATATCAGTTATATCCTATTAGTCATCTTTTATTGAGTCCTCTGGGACCCCACAATAAGTGCCCAGAAGCTTTATCTTAAAATCTTCATTTGTTCCTTTTTCAATACCTTGCCTTTGGAAAGGGATGTGAAATATCTCCTTTATATAAACTGCTCAGTAACTAAAGTCAACACCACCCATACTGTAGTGCTGTCAGAGTCTCCACTAAGTGAGCTGTCAGTCAGAAAAAACCCTATCAAAACAAAGGTGGTCCAAGAATGACTTACTCCCTAGAAGCAGCAGGACTTAGTCTACAAATCAGTCATCTTATACAAGGTGCAAAGGTCATTAAGCTTGGTCTTCAACTCACAGAACAAAATGTAAAATATATCAAATTATCAGTAAAAGGTTAATTAATAGGAGACAGTCTAAGGCAAGTCAAAGATCGATTAAATAGCTACTTAAATGTCCTCCTAGTTTTGGGCTTTAGGTTTTCATAGTTAATTCTTTAATCTGACTGTAATTTATCACTTACCTTTATATTTGGAGTATAGAGATTTCGTAAAGATGCCAACGCCATGGAAAGACCCTCTGTGCTATAGGAGATCCAGAGACCTTGGAGGATGGAGGATGATACTCCAACTTTTTTACTCAAACCCTGAAAAAGAAATATAGAGACAATTAAATCATTAGCCCAGCTAAAAAGTACCATCAGTAGTTAAGTTAGGAGCCTCTAGGTTTGTGGTACTAACAAATGAGAATAGAGTCTTGCTCAAACAATACCCAGGCATAACAAAGACAATCCACTGATGCAGACGAAGACTAGTCCTGTAGGAACAGGCTAACTTAAACTGTCTCTACCTTGGCAGTCTGCGGAAACAAATCTACTTAATACCTCTCTTTTCTGCTATATCTGGATATAATCCCCCCTCCCCCCAGATCTTTTCTACTAGCCTTCTTGAATCAATCTCTTAAATTCAAGTTAGTAAAGTATACACGGTAACAGAGATAATGCAGTGTGATCACTGATCTCCATCTCATTTCCGTCCTGGGCATTTGTGAAAACTGTATCTCCCAGCCTCCTTTACAGTTATGTGGGCCATGGGACTGACTCCTGGCTAATAAAATGTGGGCAGAAGTAATATGTCATGTCCAGCCTTGGCCCCAAATTCCCCCTGTGTTTCTCCACACTTTCTATTGTTCCTCTTGATTGCAGGCCAGATGATTCAATGGAGGATCCTGAGGCCCTAGGAGATTTTGGAACTACTATGTGGAAGAAGCCTGCCCAATGATCTGTACTGGACTGCAACGAAAGTGAAAAATAAGCCTTTGTTAAGTCACTGAGATTTTGCAGGTTTGTTAGAGTAGCTAGCATTGCTCACCTTAACATAGCCTAAAATAATCACATCTGTTCATCCTCAGGGAAACAACATAGGTTTGATTGCCATCAGCAACAAATTTTCTCTAGTATGACTGGCCTAAGTCCCACTGTATGTACTAATGTTTGCCCCTTTTACTTGGACTTCTCCAAAAGGAAGTTAGAATAAATTGTTTTTAAAAATCTCCTGCTGTGATGCCAAGATTCTCTGGCAATCTTCTTCTTCTTTCTTAAGGCTGTGCAGCATGGCTTGCAGGATCTTTGCTCCCTGACCAGGGATTGAACCTGGAGCCCCTGCAGTGGAAGTGTGGAGTCCTAACCACTGGACCGCCAGGGAATTCCCAGCAATCTTCTTACTATTCTGCCAATATCTGGGTCAAGTGAGTTAAAGCAGGAAATCCTGAGGGCTGCAAGATATTAACAATGAAGTTTGGGAACCACAAAGTAGATCTGAGGAGGTATTTTTTTAAAAAACTTAATCTGTTCTGTTTGCTTTGTGAGAAAGTAGTCCAGTTTGATTCTTTTGTGTGTAACTGTCCAGTTTTCCCAATACCATTTATTGAAGAGGCTGTCTTTTCCCCATTGTATATTCTTGCCTCTTTTGTCATGGATTAATTGACTATATAAGTGTGGGTTCATTTTTGGGTTCTCTGTTCTGTTCCATTGAGCTATGTGTCTGTTTTTGTGCCAGTACCATACTGTTTTGATTACTGTACCTTTGTAGTATAGTTTGAAACCAGGGAGCATGATACCTCCAGCTTTGTTCTTCTTTCTCAAGATTGCTTTTGCTATTCAGGGTCTTTTGCATTTCCACACATATTTTAGAATTATTTGTTCTAATTCTGTGAAAAATGCCTTTCATGTTTTGACAGAGATTGCACTGAATCTGTAGATTGCCTTGGGTAGTATGGTCATTTTAACAATATTAATTCTTCCAATCCATGAGTATGGTATATCTTTCCATTTGTTTGTGTAGTTTTCGATTTCTTTCATCAATGTCTTATAGTTTTCTGGGTACAAGTGTTTTACTGCTTTAGTTAGATATATTCCTAGGTATTTTATTTTTTTTGATGCAATTGTAAATGGGATTGTTTTCTTAAGTTCTCTTTCCAATAGTTTGTTATTAGTGTATAGAAACACAACAGGTATCTGTTTATTAATTTTGTGTCCTGCAACTTTACTGAATTAACTGATTAGTTCCAATGGTTTTTGGTAACATCTTTAGGATTTTCTGTAAATAGTATCATGTCACCTGCAAACAGTGACAATTTTACATCTTCCTTTCCAATTTGGATGCCTTTTATTTCTTTTCCTTGTCTGATTGTTGTGGCTAGGACTTCCAATCTACGTTGAACAAAAGTGGTGAGAGTGGGTATCCTTGCCTTGTTCCTGATCTTAGAGGAAATTCAGCTTTTCATCACTGAGGATGATGTTGGCTATGGATTTGCCATATACGACTTTTATTATGTTTAAGTATGTTCCCTCTGTATACTCTGTTGAGACTTTTTATTATAAATCGATGTTGAATTTTGGTAAAAGCTTTTTCTGCATCTACTGAGATAATCATATGATTTTTATCCTTCACTTTGTTAATGTGGTGTAAGATGTTGATTGATTTGCAGATATTGAACCATCCTTGCATCCCTAGGATAAATCCCACTTGATCACGGTGTACGATCCTTTTTATGTATTATTGAATTCGGGTTACTAATATTTCATTGAGAACTTTTGTATCTATGTTTATCAGTGATCTGGGCCTGTCATTTTCTTTCTTTGCAGTGTCTTTGTCTGGTTTTGGTATCAGGGTGATGCTGGCCACACAATGAATTTGGAAGTGCTCCTTCCTCTTCAAGTTTTTGGAACAGTTTGAGAAGGATAGGCATTAACTCTTTAAATGTTTGGTAGAATTCACCTGTGAAGCTGTCTGGTCCTGGACTTTTGTTTGTTGGGAGGTTTTTTTTTAAATTATTGATTCAATTTTCAATTTCATTACTGGTAATCAATTTGTTCATATTTTCTATTTCTTCCTTATTTAGTCTTGGGAGATTTTAAGTTCCTAGGAACTTATCTGTTTCTTCAGGTTGTCCGTTTTATTGGTGTACAATTGTTTGTAGTAATCTCTTATGCTCCTTTGTATTTCTGTGGTTATTTGTTATAACTTCTCCTCTTTCATTTTTGATTTTATTTATTTGGGCCCTCTCTTTTTCTTCATGAGTCTGGCTAAACATTTATCAATTTTGTTTGTTTTTTCAAAGAAGCAGCTCTTGATTTCATTGATCTTTTCTATTTTTTATTTTGTCTATTCATTTATTTCTGCTCTGATCTTTAAGATTTCTTCTACTAACTTTGGGTTTTGTTTGTTCTTTTTTTCCCCAGTTCCTCTACGTGTAAGGTTAGATTGTTTGAGATTTTTCCTGTTTCCCGAGGTAGGCTTCTATCACTATAAACTTCTCTCTTAGACTTGCTTTTGCTGCATCCCATAGACTCTGGATCATTGTGTTTCCATTTTCATTTATCTCTAGATATTTTTTGATTTCCTCTTTGATCTCCTCAGTGACTCACTGGTTGTTTAGTAGTGTGTTGTTTGGAGTTAACGTGTTTGTGTTTTTTTTTTTTTTTTTGCGGTATGTGGGCCTCTCACTGTTGTGGACTCTCCCGTTGTGGAGCACAGGCTCCAGACACGCAGGCTCAGCAGCCATGGCTCACGGGCCCAACCACTCCACGGCATGTGGGATCCTCCTGGACTGGGGCACGAACCTGTGCCCCCTGCATCGGCAGGTGGACTCTTAACCACTGCGTCACCAGGGAAGGCCCCTTGTTTGTGTTTTTTGTATTTTCCTTATAGTTGATTTGTAGTCTCATACCACTGTGGTCAAAAAAGATGCTTGATATAATTCAGTCTTCTTAAATTTATTGAGAATTGTTTGTGGAATAGCATGTGCTCTATTCTAGAGAATGTTCCATGTGCACTTGAAGAAAGTGTGTGTTCTGCTGCTTTTGGATGAAACGTTCTGTACATATCTATTAATTCCATAATTGTCATTTAAGCCTAGTGTTTCTTTGTTGATTTTCAGTCTGGATGATCTGTCCATTGATATGAGTGGGGTATTAAGTCTCCTACTATTATTATATTACTGTCAATTTCTCCCTTTATGTTTGTTAAAATTTGCTTTATGTATTTACGTGCTACTATGCATCCATATTTACAATTGTTACATCTTCTTGTTGGATTGATCCCTTTACTCCTTTATCATTACGTATCATTGATCCTTTTATCATTATCATTGATCCCTTTACCCTTCTTTGCTAGTCCTTGTTTTAAAGTCTATTTTGTATAAGTAATGCCAGCCCAACTTTCTTTTTGTTTCCATTTGTATGGAATACCTTTTTCTATCCCCTTACTTTCAGTCTGTGTATCTTTGATCTGAAGTGAGTCTCTTGTAGGCAGCATATATAAAGGCCTTTTTTTTTTTTTTTTTCAGTCCATTTAGCCACTCTATTCCTGCAGCTCTTTGGGACTCCCAAAAGTAATCTCCACTGGCCTTCAAAGCCAAATGCTCTGGGGACTCATCTTCCCAGTGCAGGACACCCAGGCTGGGGAGCCCGATGAGGGACTCAGACCTCTCACTCCTTTGGGAGAACTGAAGATATGTCCACACAAATACCTGAACACTAACATTGTAAGTGTACTAAATGCCAATGAGTTATTCACTTTAATATGTCTAATTTTATTTTTAAAAAATAAAGAGAAAAAAAACCCTGTACGCTATGTTCATAGCAGCGTTATTCACAACAGCCAAAAAGTGGAAACAACTGAAATGTGCAACTAGCAAATGGATAAACAAAAAGGAGTATTATTTGGCAATAAGAAGGAATCAAGTACTGATACATGCTACAACATGGATGAACCCTAAAATCATCATGTTAAGTGAAAGAAGCCAGACATAGACAACCATGTATTGTATGATTCCATTTATACTAGATGTCCAAGAGTCAAACTTATAGACAGTAGATTAGTGGTTGCCAGGGGTTGGGGGAAGCTCATGGGGAGTGACTTCAAATGGACACAAGGTTTATTTTTAAGGTGATGGAAATGTACTAATAGTGGTAATAATTACACAACTCTGTAAATATACCAAATATCCAGAATTACAGACACTCAACCTCATATTTTTAAGGTGATTAATGACATCATATGTAATTTTTCAGGAACAAAGATAAAATAAGGGAAATTTAAAACTAACTGGAAAGAAATATGAATTGGACTATATGATGTCATTGCTGATTGGCAGTTCTAAGTGGCGCTGAATCTAAGCATTGAGTCTGTCTTTGTCTTTTCATGACCCTCAGCTGATAGGAAGTGAGAATTCTGGCAGTCTGAGAGAAGCTTAAGTCTATCAACAAGGAGCACGCTGCATTTAAAGGACCCTGAAAACTGCAGCAACAAGAAAACCATGGTCCGAGTCCACATTCTTCAGCTTGCAGTCATGTCATCACCACATGCTATACACCCAAGTATTTATGGCCTGAATCACACACGGAGCCAGTCTTATCTCAGGCAACCATGTTGTCTGCAGCAACATAAGATAAAACTGTGTCAGTGACAGGAGTGTATGGTTTAAGTGTAGGTCTCTATGACAGGCTGGTGGTTGCCAGAGAGGAGGGGGTTGTGGGGAGGATGAAGTAGGTGAAGGGATCAAGAGGTACAAACATCTGGTTATAAAATAAATAAGCCATGGGGATATAAAAAAATAAATAAATGTAGGTCTCCCTATAGCAGATAAAGTCACAGGGGATCAAATGAAACTTCATATCATTTATCTGTTTCATGTGGTATTTATTTTATGGTGCAGGGAATAAACACAGGCATCATCTTCATTGCATCTGATCCTAGGCAGAGGGTGATCACAAACGTTCAAGCGTTTAAAGCAGTGATGCTTAATACGTAAGTTACTTTCCCGTCTAATTGAAGGATACTCATCTTAGAGTTTGTAGACGTAGCAGATACTTTTTGGTCCACCTGAAATTGGAATGAGACACCTTGCCTGTTAAAAGACTCTCATTCTGCTCCCATTAAGTAAGGTCATTTTTGGTAGAGTGATTTATTAATGACAATTATGATTCAAATAAAGGACTTGTCACTGTGGGTTTTACTTCTGTCCATCTGATGAAAAGGCTTCTCTAGCTGTGTACTTATATACTGGAAAGAATCTGCTAGGCTCTTGAAGTTGCCCTTAATGCCATTTTTCTCTCTGAACAGAACTGTTTTATCTTCAACAGTATCTCTTGGGGGAAGTCCAAGACAGAGGACTATTTAAGATCTCTGTATTTCTCAATCTGGGAGCAGCAAAAGTGGTCTGAAGAGATTGTAGGGATTGTAGGTGGCAGATGAAATAGCAAGCTGTGGGCTAGGAAAATCAGGAAAACAAATTCCTTCCTTGACTTCTGTCCTTTGCCCCAAAACTGATATCTAGACAATAAATTCCTTGAGATTAGGGGCTGTATATTTTTGGTTTGTGTATCCCTAGTACCTAGTACAATGCCTCAGTAAGCACTGAATAAACAAATGCATGCATACAAGCACAAACAGATGAATTACGTGCCCTTCTCTGGGTCCTCCACTCCAGCCGTGTGGATGTTGGGACAGGGAGGCTGATGCTTGGAGTCCTTAAAAGTTTTGAAACTACTGCAAAAAACTGGGATTATAATTTGAAGAGAGAATGGGGGAAGTATCTTAAAGGAAGATTATAGTTGGTTCTAGACAAAGAGTTTGAAAATCACAGCACCTGGAATATTTAAATCTTCACTAAAACAATTATGAGAACACTGAGAGAGTAAACTGCTCTCAGCGATTTTTTTTAGACATTGTGAAAACCTGCAACTAATGCTACAACGTGACTCTTCTCAGGAGATGGTGGGTCATATATGGAGTACACATGTGTATGTGTATATGCTTCTTACCTAAATGATTATACATGTACCTTTCCTGGGAAGCCTAGCAATCCACTAAACTGGGAGATGACAAATGTGGCTTTCTTTCAAAGTCCTAGGGAGGAACGGGTCAGAAATTTTAGGAGATGGATCAATTTTGCAACAAACTGATTTCAGAAAGCAGGGGCCACACTGACATAACAGTAGCTTCATACACACAGTGTTACGGAAAGCCTGATGGAAATGGAAAGAAAAACACCTCCAACTTCTTTAATTACCTTAAAAATGTGTGCTTTGAGGATGTGATGTCCCAGTTCAATTGTCTGCTGTCGGTTTAGTTTTCCCTCTTGGCGGGAAAACCAGAAGGCAAGTAATGTGTGACCACTCCTGCCAAAAAAAAAGAGACCCATTTTAGAAAATTTAATGCTCCATTTCTCCTTTGGGCGGACAACTGTTCAAGTCTAGCCATACCTCCAATGAAACTCTGTCTCATTCAACCAGTTTCTTAGGGAAGGGCACCTGCTATTGGGCAAATAACGGGTAGTGAACGGTTCCTAGCTTTTACCGGTCCTTTACCCAAATCACGTGTGAATATCACAGAATGTCATTTCTAGTCGGCTTACACCCATCCCACACATAGATGGCATTAAAAGATCCATTTTTATTTTCTGTCTCTGTCAACTCCTCTTATTTCACCCATGCTTTAAAAGTCAGGATCCTGCTTCCTCAGGATCTCAGTTTTGGTCCTAGTGTGTCCTCTGGATTTAGCTCATCCATCCTCAGAGCCTTCGCCACCACCTAAACCCTATTATCTTTTTCTCTATCTAGATGTTTCAGCTTTAGATCAATATACATCAACTGTCTACTGGATTTCTGTACCTAGAGGTCCTATAGTACCTTAAACTCAACATGTCCCAAACTGGATTAACAACCTCTTCCCCAAGTGAAGTCTTCTCTGATTAGCCTCTACCAAGCCTCTATCCTTTCTCTCTAACATTTTCTCCCAGCCGAGAACACAGCACCCTGTCTTTGGTGCAATCATCATCGGTTGTATATGCCTTTAGTTCAGTGTCTACCACACTATTACATGCTCTCTCCTCTACTAGACTGTAGGTTTCCTGATGGCATCATTCTCACCCCGCATCTCCTTGTCAACAGATCCCCAATCTGTTCATGAAAGAGAAAACCCTTTTCTCTGCCTCTGCATGTTGTCTTATCTGCCCAGGATGCTCAGCACTGCCACAGCCCTCCTGTAATCATGTGGTCAGCTGGCCTGAGGACAAAGCCAACAAAAAGGCTAAGCTAAGAGAACTGCTGAAAAATAGAACCTGAGTCCTGACTGTACAGCATCAGAAGCGGCCCTAATTTTGGACTACTTGTTATATGAAGTGATAAATTTCTTTATTGTTTAATCCATTTGAGTTGATGTTTCCTATTTCTTCCAGCTCAAAGCATACTAATGATATATGTCTTTAAGTGTGAATGTATATATGTATATGTGTATGTATGTAAGGTATGTGTATACATGCAGGATTATGTGTATTTTTATTTACATTTATGACAGAAATCCCGAGTTGTTTATACTCTCCACAGTGCCAAACATTGTGTATTGCTCATAAAAATTCTCAATAAAATTTTTTGGGGGGCTTCCCTGGTGGTGCAGTGGTTAAGAATACGCCTGCCAATGCAGGAGACACGGGTTCGAGCCTGGTCCGGGAAGATCCCACATGCCACAAAGTAACTAAGCCAGTGTACTACAAATAGTGAGCCTGTGCTCTAGAGCTCACATGCCACAACTACTGAAGCCCGCAAGCCTAGAGCCTGTGCTCCGCAACAAGAGAAGCCACTGCAGTGAGAAGCCTGCGCACCGCAACGAAGAGTAGCCCCTACTCGCCGCAACTAGAGAAAGCCCGCGCACAGCAACGAAGACCCAACACAGCCAAAAATAAAACAAATAAATAAATTTATTTAAAAAAATTTTTGGTTAGTGTCAGCGGAGTTCTCTATGCTACTGTCAACACAACTCTTTTACTCCTTTCACTTGAAGTGTCATAGAGGAGGAAAATCAAACTATTATCTCAGTTTCAAGCCTAATGAATTAATCAAACAGAAGGGAAAACAGCAAGTGAATTTTTGTTCGTGACTCTTTGCTGAGAGGAGGCCCAAATGTCTACTGGATGATTTTCTCTCATATTTAACACTGGCTACTCTACCAGGTTTAACATGTGAAGATGTGTAATACTGAAGTCTGAAAAACAAACATATCCTCCCTTCCTTCTTCCTTTCCTTCCTCCCTTCCTGCCTCCCTTTTTCCTAAGCTTCAGTAAAGAACTTGGAGAACAGAGGATGGGACAGTTCCCATCTTAGGTAAGAATCATCCTATAAAACTTTAAAAAGAAACTCTACCATGTTCTAACCTTCGTCTTCACAGAATTTCTGAATTCTAGTGGATACCAGGTCATCTTACTTGATCAGATAAGACTAACCATAAAGGAAAGAAAATTATTTAATTGACAGAATGTCTCAGACAACTGTATCTTGTATGGAATCATCAGTGTCATCTGAAGATATGAGCCCAGGGTTGTTTCACACTCACAAAATCTAGAAATTGCTACTGAACTTTTATATATCCCTTGAAAGCCCAATGTAGTTGGTAGGCTATTTTAACAGAAATTAATGAGAACCATTTATAAAAGTTCCCTATCTCAAGTTCTCAAAATCCTAACCAGTCATTAACGATGAAATTATTGTAGCCTCCCTGGTGTAAGAATTATTACATTAAGCATCTCACCCATGGCTGTACGTAGTGACTAGAACTCCTGAATATGATCCACCACTTATGCTTCAGGCCATTAATGAGAATCCATGCCGGTGAGGAATAAGGATAAAGCTCATGTCTGACAAGGATATGAATTGTCAGTTAGACACAGAACTGACTTGCCCTAGTGCATTTACTTTACTACCGTGACTAGGACACCCTGGGAAGATGCTTCCATCTCTCTAGTATGCATTTCAGCCAGCTATAGAGAACAGTGCTTGCTTTTGTTATTGTTGATCAGGCACTGAGGAGAAACAGCAAGCCATATGGTTCAAGGAAAAGATGAAGGTGACAACACTAGTTTATTTCTTTTTGGATACAAGCATATTACATTATTCATAAAAGAATGATTCTGATCAGTTCACCGGACTCAAAGCTTATGGTGTTTAAGACACAAAAGGTAAAACAGCAATTTCCATTACATGCTGGCATTTCCATTTGTACCTTACTATTCTTTTTTTTTTTTAACATCTTTATTGGAATATAATTGCTTTACAATGATGTGTCGGTTTCTGTTGTATAATAAAGTGAATCAGCTATACATATACATATATCCCCATTTCTCCTCCCTCTTGTGTCTCCCTCCCACTCTCCCTATCCCACCCCTTGAGGTGGACACAAAGCATCAAGCTGATCTCCCTGTGCTATGCGGCTGCTTCCCACTAGCTATCTGTTTTACATTTGGTAGTGTATATATATCCATGCCACTCTCTCACTTCGTCTCAGCTTACCCTTCACCCTCCCTGTGTCCTCAAGTCTATTCTCTACATCTGTGTCTTTATTCCTGTCCTGCCCTTAGGCTCAGCAGAACCTTTTGTTTTTTTTTAAGATTCCATATATTTGTGTTAGCATATGGTATTTGTTTTTCTCTTTCTGACTTACTTCACTCTGTATGACAGACTCTAGGTCCATTTACCTCATTACAAATAGCTCAATTTCATTTCTTTTTATGGCTGAGTAATATTCCATTGTATATATGTGCCACATCTTCTTTATGCATTTATCTGTCGATGGACACTTAGGTTGCTTCCATGTCCTGGCTATTGCAGATAGAGCTGCAATGAACATTTTGGTACATGACTCTTTCTGAATTATGGTTTTCTCAGGGTATATGCCCAGTACTGGGATTGCTGGTTCGTATGGTAATTCTATTTTTAGTTTTATAAGGAACCTCCATACTGTTCTCCATAGTGGCTGTATCAATTTACATTCCCACCAACAGTGTAAGACGGTTCCCTTTTCTCCACACCCTCTCCAGCATTTATTGTTTGTAGATTTTTTGATGATGGCCATTCTGACAGGTGTGAGGTGATACCTCATTGTAGTTTTGATTTGCATTTCTCTAATGATTAGTGATGTTGACCAACCTTTCATGTTTGTTGGCAATCTGTATATCTTCTTTGGAGAAATGTCTTAGGTTTTCTGCCCATTTTTGGATTGGGTTTTTTTTTTGTTTTGTTTTTTTGTTTTGTTTTTTTATTTGCGGTACACGGGCCTCTCACTGTTGTGGCCTCTCCCATTGTGGAGCACAGGCTCCGGACGCGCAGGCTCAGCGGCCATGGCTCACAGGCCCAGCTGCTCTGCGGCATGTGGGATCTTCCCGGACCGGGGCACGAACCCGCGTCCCCTGCATCGGCAGGCGGACTCTCAACCACTGCGCCACCAGGGAAGCCTGGGTTGTTTGTTTTTTTGATATTGAGCTGCATGAGCTGTTTGTATATTTTGGGGATTAATCCTTTGTCAGTTGCTTCCTTTGCAAATATTTTCTCCCATTCTGAGGGTTGTCTTTTCGTCTTGTTTATGGTTTCCTTTGCTGTGCAAAAGCTTCTAAGTTTCATTAGCTCCCATTTGTTTATTTTTATTTCCATTTAGCTAGCAGGTGGGTCAAAAAGGATCTTACTGTGATTTATGTCACAGAGTGTTCTGCCTATGTTTTCCTCTAAGAGTTTTATAGTGTCTGGCCTTACTTTTACATCTTTAATCCATTTGGAGTTTATTTTTGTGTATGGTGTTAGGGAGTGTTCTAATTTCATTCTTTCACCTGTAGCTGTCCAGTTTTCCCAGCACCACTTATTGAAGAGGCTGTCTTTTCTCCATTGTATATCCTTGCCTCCCTTATCAACGATAAGGTGACCATATGTGTGTGGGTTTATCTCTGGGCTTTCTATCCTGTTCCATTGATCTATATTTCTGTTTCCATGCCAGTACCATACTGTCTTGCTGACTGTAGCTTTGTAGTATAGTCTGAAGTCAGGGAGCCTTGTTTCTCCAGATCCATTTTTCTTTCTCAAGATTGCTTTGGCTATTTGGGGTCTTTTGTGTTTCCATACAAATTGTGAAATTTTTTATTCTAGCTCTGTGAAAAATGCCATTGGTAGTTTGATAGGGATTGCACTGAAACTGTAGATTGCTTTCGGTAGTACAGTCATTTTCACAATGTTGATTCTTCCAACCAAGAACACGGTATATCTCACCATCTGTTTCTATCATCTTTAATTCCTTTCATCAGTGTCTTATAGTTTTCTGCATGCAGATTTTTTTGTCTCCTTAGGTAGGTTTATTCCTAGGT